CCAGTCCTAAGGATAATTTCCTTCTTCCAAATATTCATATACTAATAGATAATTGTGCGAAACATGAGTATCAATCATTTGTCGATTGCTTTGCAAGATACCACAAAATCCTGATAGACAAAAATGATGCAGAAAAAACAATATTTATCACTCCATGGGGGGTGTATTGCTATAGAGTAATGCCTTTCGTTCTCAAAATGCTGGTGCAACCTACATGAGGGCTATGCCTACCCTTTTTCACGACATGATCCATAAGTAAATTGAAGTGTACGTGAACGATGTCGTTATCAAATCCAAAAGAAGTTCAGACCACCTAAATGACTTACGAAAGTTCTTTGAGAGGTTGCGTAAGTATAATCTGAAGGGGATATTGTAACACCCTGGAAATTCTATGACTTAAGTTAGAGCCTCACCTTATGAATAATGACTTAAAAATAGTAAAAATGATGTTTCCAAACCTAAATTAATGCAATTGACTTGGTTTGGAAGAGTAAAAGTCTAAACGTCAAGAAATGACCACGACGTTCGAAAACTAGAGAAGAATGTGTTCTAGTGTGTCCTTAGGTTTTGGGCAGGTTTGGGAGTGTCGTAGATGGTATAATCTTGTAAAAAGGTTTAAATAAGGTAAATATATTTTTATAGGGTCAAAACGTTCGAATACGACATCCCGAGACCACCCTAAGGGCCCCCCCCAACCTTGGCCAAGCAAGCTACCAAGGCAACTTGCAAATTGCACTTGGTGGGAATAGCTCTGTGTCGCGGACTAGCTCCCCCAAGGAGAAAAAAGTTTGTTCGCAACGCGGTCGTTTCGCGGACTCTACTGTCTCAAAATTTAATTCCAAATATCTTCAGGGAACAGCTCCGCGTCGCCGACTTGTTCTGCAACGAAAATGCAAAAATTCAGAAATCGATTTTTACTTCATTAAAGAGTCCAACTAAGTGAGGGGTATTTAGGGTACTTTAGGGGACGTGTATATAATGATTTTAAAGTCAATTTACCTCACTTTTATCACTCAAACACAAAACCCCAAAGATCTAAACCTAAAGTTCCTCCTTCTCTCTACTCTCTCTCTTCTTAAGAACTCCATCGAAGAAGATTGGAGCTTCAAGAAGAAGACCGACTCTCCAAGGTTTCAACTCAGATTTTTGTGGTTAATTCGACAATAAGGTATGGTTGCTTATCACTCTTGGGATTCCTTTCGCCCGTTCAAGATGAATTTCAAAATCTCCAATTTCTAGGTTTCAATCCAAAAATATGGGTCTTGTTTCTAAAGTGAAATTGATGTTATAAACTGACTTTGATTGATGTTATATGAACAATTATGGATGAATATATGATTGTATTGGTGGTTTCTTGAAGAATTCCCCATGAGACCCATGTTTCTCCTTCTTTTCCTAATCCTAACCCTAGTTTGTGTTGGATATCGATTGAAGGCTATGAATTGAATGTGAAGTTATGTAATTCATGTTTGTATGATGATTCTACCCTAGGTTATGTATAATTTCTATGAAATTAGGGTTGAGTCTTTGAATGAAACCTTGAAGGCTATGAAGGGAATATGTCAATTGCTTATATTGATGTTGATTATGTTATTACTTCATAAATTACCTTGTATTAGGTATTGGTTATGAATTGTGTGGTAATTGAAGTATGGAGGTCCCACGAAGTGAAATAAGGTATGAAGGTTGGTTCTTCTTTGAACTCAAGTATGAAAGGTGAATTACTTAGATTGTAATGATGCTATACCTAATGTGTTGTTGTGGTGTTGATGACCTAGTTTCCTCATCCTTAACCCTCTACACTTGAATTAGCTATGAAGTATGTATGTATGTTATGGTATGATTGATATATGATTGAAAGGTAGTTCTCATAATTATAATGTAATGTAATGTAAAGTGAAAGGTTTACTGACTTGCTAAGTGTTTCTAAAGTGAAAGGATTGTTACTCACTTATGAACACATATGAGCTATTATGGTAAGATGTCTACATAAGAGTCTAGTAAAGGCTAATATGAACTTATGTGATGACTAAAGATGATTACTAAAGGGAATTAGATGCTTAGCACCGAAAGGGCATGTAAATGAGATGGGGGGTCTCACATTTAATAAGTTCGGCTCCCCACATGGGTTTCCTCACGTTTAGCAATTCCGGATTACCCACGGTATGTGTTGTATCATGAGATGGAAACCCCCACGTTTAGTAAGTTAGGGTTTCTAGAAGCAATCTCCTTGACCCTTAACTACGTGCTCTAATAGGACTCTAGCTTAGTGGATCCACCTATATAGCTATGTACGAATGGTTACACCTTAGGCAAGTGTTAACCCTCTCTTTTTGGTGTGGGAGTAGACCACCGGATTCCATGTAGCTTTCATGGTCTATGTCGGTTATTGCAATATTTTCCTAATGTAAGTGTAAATGAAGGTATGAAAGGTGTGAACTCTTGCTAGGGCTTTCTTAAGGGTTTCTACATAGTGTAAGGGAGGGTATGAGACTTCTTTTGCACATTGCACCTGTGGGATCCTAAGAGATGGTTGTAGTAATGTTCTCTTATGATTATGATGATTATGACTTATGTATGTTGAAGCTATGTTATGTATGATCATTATGAATATGGTAAGTTCTGATGAAATATAATCTTATGAATATATGCATAAAGTAGGTTGCTTAATGTGATACTTGGGTTTGAATAGGGTTATGGGGTTCTATTCTTTGCATTGCACTAGTATTGCTTAGGTTGTCTACATGTTGGGATGAAATTATGTTGGTTTGGACTATGATGCTTACTTTGTGTGCATATTGGATTTACTTGGTAAAAAGCATGTTTTGACTAAATGTCCTTTTATGCATGTTTCAATGGCTTTTATGCATAGTAGCCATACTTAGTACGTGTATTGTACTAACCCATATTTTCTCCCTTTTCCCCAAACATTTAGGTTCGGGCCATTGAGGATTCAAGCTTACTTCTGAAGACACTTGGAGTTGCTTCCCCACGTTGGTGAGTCCTCAAGTCCGAGGACAAGACCCTATGATCTAGCTTCTATGCTTAGTTCTTTGCTTATGTTGAAAGACATTGTTGTACTTTCCTATTTCAAGACTTCTTATTGATGTAAGGGCTAAGTCTCATTTTCGATACTTCTATGTCTAGATGGTACATTGTGACGAAGTTAGATTCTGTTTTTCATATATGAAGTGAAATTGAACTTCCAAAGTAAAAGTTTTAAATTTTCCATTATTCTATGATACATGTTATGAAGAATGCTAAAGGCTTGTATAAGACCTCTTCGAGGTCGAATACGCCGGTAACGACTAGGGTGTTCTCTCGGGTCGTTACAGAATTCAACAAAGTGTGCATTTGGAGTACCCACGGGAAAGCTACTAGGATTCATCGTTAGAAGGGAAGGCATAAAGTTGGATCCATCAAAGATAAAGGCAATCCAAGAGCTACCTCCACCCAAGACCAGGAAGGACGTGATGAGTTTCTTAGGAAGACTGAATTACATCAGTCATAGCTCAATCCATAGTGATCTGTGAACTCATATTCAAATTACTGAAGAAGGATGCTACCATGAAATGGATAGAGGAATGCCAAAAGGCTTTCGATAGAATCAAAGAATACTTGTCCAACCCACCAATATTGGTCCCACCAGAGCCTAGAAAGCCTTTGTTATTGTATCTATCTGTCATGGATAATGCATTTGGATGTGTATTGGGGAAGAATGATGAGACAGGTAGAAAAGAGCAAGCCATTTACTATTTGAGCAATAAGTTCACACCATACGAGGCAACATACACCTTGTGGGAACTAACATGTTGTGCTTTGACTAGGATTGTGCAAATATTTAGGCATTACCTGGTTGCATACACCACGTACTTGATCTCAAGAATGGATCCACTCAAGTACATCTTTCAGAAATCAATGCCTACAGGTAAGCTGGCAAAGTGGCAAATTTTGTTGAGCAAGTTTGATATCATATACGTGACACAGAAGGCCATCAAAGGACAAGCCTTGGCTGATCACCTCGCAAAAAACTCGATGGATCAGGATAACAAGCCACTCACAACCCATTTCCCTGATGAAGAGGTTTTATTTGTAGGAGAAGACATATCAGAGTCGTATGATGGATGGAGGGTATTCTTTGATGGAGCATCAAACTCTATTGGAGTTGGAATAGGAGCAGTCTTAATTTCAGAAACAGGTCAGTATTACCCAATCTCAGCCAAGATTAGGTTTTACTGTACCAATAACATAGTGGAATATGAAGCTTGTATTCTTGGACTAAGGATGGCCATCGATATGAACATCAAAGAACTCTTGGTGATAGGAGATACTGACTTATTGGTTCATCAGGTGCAAGGAGAATGGACCACTAAGAATGTCAAGATCCTGCCTTATTTGCAGTACATAAAAAAGTTGAGTAGGAGATTCACAAGGATTGAGTTCAAGCATGTTCCTCGAGCTCAAAATGAATTTGTCGATGCTTTGGCAACATTTTCCTTGATAATTCAACATCCAGACAAGAATTACATTGACCCTATTGATGTAGAGATACATGATTAGTATGCATACTCTTTTCATGTAAATGAGGAATTGGATGGAAAACCATAGTAATATGACATTAGAAGATTGATAGAAGCACAAGAATATCCTTAAAATGCCATAAGCAAAGAAAAAATGGACTTGATAGACAATCATTTCTTCCGTAACAGAGAAATCTTATAAAGGAGAACTTCAGATTTAGGATTGCTGAGGTGTGTCGATGGTGTAGAAGCGACAAGGCTTTTGGAAGAAATACATGCAGGAATATGTGGACCTCATATGAATGGGTTCACTTTGACAAACAAGATTTTAAGAGCTGGATATTTTTAGATGATCATGGAGAGAGATAGCATCCGATATGTGCAAAAGTGTTATCAGTGTCAAGTGCGTGGAGATTTTATACGGGTTCCACCGAATGAGCTCAATGTGATGGGTTCCCTTCGCCATTTGCCGATTGGGGCATGGATGTTAGTGTACCCATAGAGCCTCCCGCATCACATGAACATCTTTTCTTCCTGGTGGCTATCGATTATTTCACAAAATGGGTTGAAGCTTTGACATACAAGGCAATGGCTAAGAAGGTAGTCACAGACTTTGTTCACAACAACATAGTTGGTCGGTTTGGAATTCCAGAATCAATCATTACAAATAATGCAGCCAACCTCAATAGCGATCTTATGAGGAAAACTTGTGAAAGGTTTAAGATTGCTCATCGAAATTCCACAGCTTACCGCCCACAGATGAATGGAGCAGTTGAGGCTGCAAATAAGAATATCAAGAAGATTCTAAGAAAAATAGTGGGCAGTCACAGACAATGGTATGAGAAGCTACCATATGCTTTACTTGGTTATCGCATCACAATCATAACATCAACTAGGACAACTCCTTATATGATGGTTTATGGTTCAGAGGCAGTAATACCTGCCGAGGTGGAAATACCATCTTTAAGGATTATCCAAGAGGTTGGTCTTGATGATGCAAAATGGATACGTAGGCAGCCTGAGTCATGCCCAGTCATTATGTTTCATATTTTTCACTTTCCTATTGTATTGGAACTACGTTACGACCTGATTCCGCTTGGATACGTAGGCAGCCTGAGTCAGGCCCGGTCTTTACATTACATGTTCTTACTTTTCCCTTCATATTTCCCCTTTTTCTATTGTAATTAAACTACGTCATGACCTGATTCCTCTTGGATACATAGGCAGCCTGAGTCAGGCTCGGTCATTGTATTACGTATTTTTAATTCTCCCACTTGTATTCGAACTACGTTACAACCTGATTCCACTTGGATACGTAGGCAGCTTGAGTCAAGCTCGGTCATACATTACACACTTCTATTTCTCCTATTTGTATTCGAACTACGTTATGATCTGATTCCTATTTTTTGGGATACGTAGGAAGCCTGAGTCAGGCTCTATCAATGCACTACATAACTTTTTTTTTCTAACCCTTAGGTTAGCATAACCTCAAAATATAAAGAATCTCGATCGTCGCACTGTCTGCAAAAGAGCTAGGGAAGCTTCATTAGGAGGGTAAAAGCCACAAGAAGACTATGTTGGATATAGTCAACAAAATGGAAAGCTCGATGGACTTCGGAACATGTCATAATCTAAAAATATTCTAGAGAATTACTATATATATACCTAATATATATGTAATATACTTATTTTCTAGAAAAAAAAGTTAATTCTTTTCAAAAGATTTTTCTACTCTACCACCTGCCAAGTCTCTAAGTTAAGGAACTATGTGCGGGAAAAAGAAGGTGCCAAAGGATTCCAGTGACGTGGCTTCAGTCCGCGAGTCGATACAAATCAACACCCCCTCCTAAAATAAAATTGTTCTTTGAGTGCAGGAACAGAGGAATCAAGAGGGATAACATCAATCCTCGGGGAATGACCAGAAACACCATTAGATTTCTCACAATCATGAGCCAAATTACTCTTTCACTACTTTATTTCCCGGAAGTATTTCAACTTGCATCTTATGTCTAAAAATATTTCATTTAAATTGGGTGGAGGGCTGCCTGATCAAAAGAGGATGAAAAGGGGGACCCATAGGAAGTACCTCATTAGTGTCCAAGAGTGGCACCCCTGCCCGCCTGTACATCGCCGTCACTAGTCCAGGTAGGAAGAATGTCTTTTTGTTTCCTCTGTAGAACATTTTCCACTCGGACATGATTTGTGCCCCCACACCCAATCCCCTGCACAACACAAACGATCTCTAAAGCCCGAGGGAAGTTCTCTGTGGGGTTGCCCGATGGGCGGATCCTCCTAGATACTAGGTGCAACCATCTGTTGGAATCTTGTGACCAGTGAGTACTAGTGATGCCTTATGTAGTAGCCTGTGAACCTGCTCCCAGCGTGCAGCCTCAACTAGGGTGTCCCGACACCAAACCAAATCTATCTCCCTCAGTCTGGTCTCGTACCCTAAGTTGGAGACCTCCGGCACTTCGAGCACCGCATTAACAAACTAAGTTCTCAGAGGAATGTCAAATCCTCGAATGCATATGGTAGGGTGAGTATCATCCCAGCGGACACAAGGTAGTAGGGCATAGAACTCCCTAACCTAGCCTAAGCGCGCGACAGAGAAAGTCTCTGTCAGTGACCCTAACCAAACTCCATCAGTCAGCCATGGAAGACGGGTGCTTTTCCGCTAAGCCCACCAGGTGGAAACCCCTCTCGTACAAAAAAATTGTGTTCCAGTAATCATGGTGCCTCTTCCAACTTGCAGCATCGGGGAACCATACAAAGGGCGAGTTTTGTTCATTGATTCCACCCATAGTTAGACAAGTGTGAAAAAAACAAAGAAATAAATTCATGAAATGTGCACATTAAAAGTCCATGGAATTAATCAATCCTTGACTAAGGAAATGAAAAAAATTATTTAAAGTGGCAAGAGGCCACTGTTCAGCAGGATCCCGCTAGAGCGACCAGGATCCCTCCACAGCAGGATGGAGGCCACCAGAGCGGCCTTCATGTAGGTCGAACTTTAACGCACGATCATGGTACCCCTTCTCCCCAAAACTTCATTTAAAAAAAAATAATCACCAGATCAGTAATTCTAGAGTTGCCTAGTACCTAAATATGTGAAGTCCCTAGCATTTCAACTTCTAAATGGTGCCCGAATTCAAGTTTTCCACTAAGAACACTATTCAACTTCCCCCACCCATTTCAAAACCGTTTCAGCCAATATTATCTCAAAATCCTTATACTCAGAACGTTGTGGAGACATTGTGAACAAAAGGAAAGTGTCCATGCTACGTTTTTCTTATCAAATCAAGTAACCCATGTGAAAATTTTGAAAACCACCCCAAGGCCATTCTACCCAACCGATTTTTTTCATGCAATCGTTGTTAAGCAAGTATTGAAGTAATTAGAGTAGGGAGCAAGAGAATTACCTTAAGATTGACGTTCAAAGCGAAGCAATAAAGAGAGTTTTTGGAGTTTTGGGGTGGGTATAGGAGGAAATGGGGAAACCATTCCCCTTTCATTAGAGTTTGTTTGAATGAATTGTAGGCGAGTTGACTAAAAGTTGACTTGAAGGTTAAAGTTTTACTTTGATTGGACAAAAAATAAACTATTTTAAGGCTTTTGGTCATTTTAAGCATGATTTTAAATAGATGGGGGCAATTTAAGATCGTTTGGAGCACATTGAACATTTCAAGAAAAGTAAAGATTGTAATTTCGAGGCTAGGGAAACTCACTTAGTTTGTTTATTTCCGTCCAAGCAAAGTATGTTTGTAGCTTGTATGCATTTAAGCGATCTAGTTAATTACATGAGTGAGCAAGCGTGATCTAGATTGGACAATTTTAAAATATATAAAATTGATCACAAGATTCGTAAATTGTATTTTTCACATAATTAAATACTTATAGTAAATTTGATGTTATGCTATTACTCCAACGACCCATACTTTAGATGTGAAGCAATTTAATCAAAGATGAAAGTTTTGAAGCTTTTGAGATTTGTAAAGTGGTAGCTCGAAATCATTCAATAGGTTGTAAAACTTTTTTGCTTCAACATTTGGTTCCTCCTCAAGTAAATCGTCGCAATCGTTCTTTCATCATGATTAGGATATCAATCTCTCAAAAAATCTTCTACTTTATCCTCACTCTCACATTCTTTTACTGCATCACCATCTTCATCTTCATATTCATATTCTAATTCTGACAATGGCTCATCCAAACGTTCACCATGGTGATACAAAAAAAGTATAATTCTGAATTGTTCCATATACTATCAAATGTGTCTCAACTATTTTACAAGTCCCTAAAGTTTGATTACAAAATTTTACATATGAACATCGTATTTCATATTCCTCTACTATTTTTCAAAAAACATAATCCAAAAACTTTTGCACACCAGCTAAGTAGGTTTCATCGATCTTGTTGTCGACAAGTTGCATTCATTGCTTACTAGGAGACATAACCTTGAAAATTACATACAAATATTATTAAAAATATTTAAAGGATAAGAAAAATCATAAGATCCACACAACTTGTTACAATCAGATTCACCATGGTGTTTTCAGAACCTTTAAGATATGGAACTAGTAACTAGGCCGAGTCTAAAGCCATGCTTTTTGGACTTAACTAGTGTATCGGGAAATGTTGGTGTTCTCAGAACCTTTAAGAGATGGAACTAGTAACTAGGCCGAGGCTAAAGCCATGTTGTTTGGACTTAACTGGTGTATCGGAAAAGGTTTCGAAAAAATTGCTTATGAAGCTGATCCCTTTAATTTGTTGTTGCACAACTGTGTGAATAATGAAAGGAAAACACCATGGAAGATCGAGGAAACTACTAAAGTTATTAAAGATCTATTAAACCATTACATGATTACAAACAACTACTATATATGTTGAAACTAACAAAGTGGATTATAGATTGCCTTCGTTAGAACACAATTGAAACAAAGTTTACATATACACTAACTTCAACATACTCTCAAAATAAATCAAGGAACTTTTGAATATGGATATTTGGAAAGCTCCCTCGGTAAGAACACAAATAAGAAGACATGTTAGGCTGATTTTTGATCCTTAATACTAATATTTTAAATTGTTGGAGAAATATGTGAGTTGTATAAATATTATTCTTCATGTAGCATTTAATGCGTCTTAAGATTAGATAAGATACATGGAGTGTCAATTCTCTTATATGGAAGCTTATAATACAGCTCGCTCAAATCATTTATAACTTTTTGGGTTCCAAAGATGAATGAATTACAATCTTTTGATCGAAAATAAAAATACAATCAAATGGCACAATCAAAAATAAAATATCATATACTAACTTATAATTAAGATGCTAGTTCTTGAAACATGTATACATGATTCCTCTTAGCCTATCAAAGATAAAGTAAGTACTTACACGAAATAGTCCCTTGTGATTAAAAAAATCTTGTTGATAGTTAATTTAAGATTAAAACTTTTCATATGTTCTGAACACGTATCAAGATTCATGTGCCCTGCTATTTTTTCCTTATAGACAAATACTCAGATTGTCTTAATAATTAATGTTATGGAAGAAAAGTTATATGGATAGAGTAGTAGTTGTATGTTAGACATAACTTGGCTTATAAACTAGCTTCTCCAAATTAGTTATATTGCATATATGTCTAAACTACAGAACACTACAGTTTACCTCACCGAAGGTCACTAGAGTTTAATAGTTATTCAGCTGCGGTGGTACCTTGCTGCCTAATATTGAGCAAATGTTTAGGCTAAACTTGGCATCACTTGATTTAGGTGAAAAATGTTCAGGTAAACTCATGAATACACTATATTCATCAAAGATTTGATAGCTGATATGACAAGTCACATGTTTTAGGAGACATTCAGGGTCAATTAACCCTTAATCAAAGTGCTAAGGTTGTAATAGATAGTGAAACAGAAAACACAAAGAGCTACACATTTATTAGATTAGGGGATGAGAGCGAGAAGTTACACATTATGACTAAGATGAATGGAAATATTTGCTCCACAAGGTTCATGTGCATTGGTCATGAAGCTAACAAAAAAAAATGTTGGTGGATAGATGCAAGCATCATATCAATGTACTACAACTCAAAATGAACATGACCCTAATACGACTAT